AAAGAATCTTCCCAACAAAATGGTTTGCCGGAGAGTAAGGGAAGAGGCCTGTTGGAGGGACTCAACCTGGCTAGAATATGGCCTGAGATGAAAGCTGCTGAGGACATGTCTCCTAAGCATTTGAACAGGCTACAGAGACTTCTATCCATGTCACAGGAGTATTCTCCCCGGAGTACTCTCGGTAGCCGGTGGCGCGAATATCACGGCTGCAATGACTGGGCTGGCCTTCTTGATCCCCTCGATGAGAATCTCCGGCGAGAGGTGGTCAGGTACGGCGAGTTTGTTCAGGCAGCCTATCATGGCTTTCACTCCAACCCCGCCATGTCAGCAGACGAAGCTCCCTCTCAACGACATGTGGCACTGCCTGATAGGTCCTACAGGGTTACCAGAGCCTCTATGCCACGTCATCCATCGGATTGCCCAAGTGGGTGGATGATGTGGCACCGGATCTCGGGTGGATGACCCAGAGGTCGAGTTGGATCGGATATGTGGCAGTGTGCGATGATCGTAGGGAGATCCAACGGATGGGAAGGAGGGACATCGTGATCGCCCTACGTGGAACGGCCACGTGTCTCGAGTGGGCAGAAAATATGAGGGACGTGTTAGTCCAAATGCCAGGAGAAAATGGCTCAAAAGATGGACAACCAAAAGTGGAATGTGGTTTTTCGAGTCTATACCAGACCCCTGGAGCTCATGTCCCAAGCCTAGCTCAATCAGTCGTTGAAGAAATTCAAAGACTAATTGAACAATACAGAGGAGAGACCCTAAGCATAACTGTCACAGGGCACAGCCTGGGCGCTGCCTTGGCACTGTTGGTGGCAAATGAACTCAGCACTTGTGCACCAAACGTGCCACCAGTAGCGGTTGTTTCCTTCGGAGGCCCTCGAGTTGGCAACCGTGGATTTGCAGATCAAATCACTGAGAACAACGTTAAAGTGCTAAGAGTTGTGAACAACCAAGATGTAATCACAAGGTTCCGGGCATGTTCGTTCAGCGAAACACTTGACAAGAAGCTGAGGGAGTCAGGTGCTGCCGCCGGGGTGCTTAATGCCTTGGACGGCAGCATGCCCTGGGCGTATTCACATGTCGGGACAGAACTAAGAGTTGACACAAAAATGTCTCCCTATTTGAAGCCAAATGCAGATGTAGCATGTTGCCATGACTTGGAGGCTTACCTGCACTTGGTGGATGGTTTCTTGGCGTCAAATTGCCCTTTTAGATCAAATGCCAAGAGGAGTTTAGTGAAATTGCTAAATGAACAGGGATCTAATGTGAAAAGATTGTATACTAGTAAAGCAAGTTCCTTGGGCAGATTGAATCTTGAAAGAGGAGGAAATCTGCACATGTCAAGCTGCTTGCCAAGTCCATCCTAATGTAATATCAAGGGATGACTTGAGAGAATTACTTCTCTTGTAAAAAGTTACAAATGAAGTACTTCGATTTTGATAATCAATTTTGGTATTGGTGTCCTTTAGAACTTTTAACTTTATTTGCTCTGATTCGCAACTTCTTCCACTTCTCAGTGCTAACGATCACTGAAGAAGACATGCAAGAATACCCTCTATTCGCAAAAAAAAACCAGGCCTGAGCCCCGATTATATCGATGATAAAACTTCCACAATCCTGAATACAGAGATCAAAGAATCCGCAAGAATACAAACTGTATCGCGTTTTATGCACTGAAAATCGATCTTGTGCTATGTATAGTCTCTTCCATGTAGCAATCTTTTACAAGAAAATCTTGATTAGCTGCAGAAACTCCTAAAACTGCCTGAGTAAGTAAAATGGGGAACATAAAATCTTTTTTTTTTTTTTTGCTAGCTAAAGAAGTATCGCCATTTTGTTGGTCATTGAAATCATAGTTCATTAGCACTCACCAAACCAACCCTGATTATGAAAAGAAAAATCGTGAGCGGATCGCAAATCAAAATGAGCAAAGAAACAGCACCCTCCCATCCTCCCGTGCCATCTAAGACTGAAGTAAATCTCTAAAGAACAGTTGAAACCTTCTCAAGCGTATGGGTTAAGCAATATTGTTGCGCACCATATTATGACCATGAAAGTAGCTGACCAGTGCTGGAGAGTGGTTTGGTAGGGATGGCAATTCTTGGGTGTGATGTCATCCGTCGACTCGCCTACCATTTGTTCTCTAGAATTCAATTCAAAAACTTGGAAGCCAGGCTACTAGGAGGTGGCAGAACTGTCTGTTTGTCCGCAATATTTCCGCAAGCAAACTTCGTGGTTCAAGTCTGATTGCGTTGACGCGTGCTCGATGAAACAAAATAAATCTATCTCCCCCTGCAAAATTACAACCTGACTTGACGGTAATTGTTAAGACTGACCTAACAAGATCCCAATCTTTCTTAACTTGTTCTACCTCTCTGAGGCCTCAATCTCATTTTGACTAAGATTTCTTCCATTTTGGTGCCTTCACTGTTTGGTAACTTATTTTCTGAAGTTAAATACAGATCCCTAAGGCATGCAAGAATACTTTTCTACTCAGAAAAAAGGAAAAAGAAAATACTAGGCCTCCTAGTTAGGAACTTGATTAGACTTCACTCAATCTGCCCCGGAAATTTCATTTTCCAATTACTTATCAGAGTTTTCAGTTAACCACCATTTGAACTATCAACTGGAAATAGAACACTCATCCAAAAAAAAAAAAAAAGCTTATACTTTGTCTCCTATTAAAAACATTAGAATGGAGTTATTTGTTGCAAATTTTGAGCTTCAGTTTGATATACTTTATCCACCATTTTCTATTATTCACTCCTCGTTTGGATTGCATTTTTCTAGATTTTTTGTAGAAAAATTACTGTAGCGATTTGATATATGTGAGGTAAAAAGGTGATTGAGAAATATATTCACGGAAAACGTAAAATTGCTGTCCAAACAAGGCCAAATTCTGATTCCGTCCTCGATGCCAATCCTAAAAGTTTGCACATATATCCACAATATCAAATCAAAGAACTGCCAGAATACAAAATCATGCCCATGTTTAATTTGTACACCGAAAATTGAGCTTGTGCTAGTCGCTTCCATCTAGTAAACTTTTTTTTTCAAACTTTGAATTAGTTGCAAAGACTTCTAAAGCTCTTTTAATACACAAAATACAAAAATCAAATGTGTGCTTTTTTTAAAAAAAAAAAAAAATCATCCCCAATTAAAGATTGAGCAACATTAGGTGTTATAACCATGAAAGCAGTTGCAACTTGAGAGGGTTTTCGTGGGGGAAGGAAATTCTTGGCTCCTGAACTTCTCATTGGTCTTGATTATGTCATCGACTTGCATACCATTTGTCCTCATAGAATTGAATTCAAGAAGCTGGAATCCAGGCTACTCGGAGCTGGCAGAAATGTCCTCTATAGTCTGCCACTATTCCAATACCAAATCCCTCTGTTATAAGCCGAGAGTATGGACACGTAGGGAAGGGAATGGGAGAAATTCCATTTCCATGCAAATTGCAATCTGCAACTTTACGGCTTGACAAGAATTGGTATACTTAACTGACCAGTTTCGGCCTGCGTTAACTTGTCTTCCTTGTCTATGACCCCAAAGTCACTTTTGACTAAGATTTCTTTCATTTTGACATATTCACTGTTTGGTACATTTCCAATAAAAGAAGCTCTTCTTCTCTGATCTGTGATCTGTATCATGCATGACGCACCCTTCATAGCCTACATGAAAGTAAGAGACAACAAGCTAGTATTTTCAGTTAATTGAGGAAGAAAATTACGTCCTATATCTTGTATTGCCCGGGTCCTAGTATAAATCAGAATCGTGGCATTGTATGTAAATCAAACAGGCCCAAAACATTTCTACCAAGAAACCTTCATACTAAACATAGTAGTCAAGCATAGGACCTTGAAAGAACCCTAAATCGCTTGCTCGACCAAGCGTTAAATTGGCTCTCAATAGACGAGGGTTGAGTTGAGCGGTAAGAATAGAAGGATTGCAGATAGGATGTCTTGGATTTAAAAATTTTTACTTGAAAAAATAAAAAGGATGTCACGGAAATCCTTTGGATTATTACCCTCCAAAAAAAAAAAAAGAAAATTTTTGGATTGCGCAGCTGCATTTCTACAAAGTAAATGTTTATATTATCAGATTTTTTTATCCAATAACTTTTTCACTCCTTTATACCTCGCTCGCTTTCTTCTCAGACTCAAGTTATTTGGGTTTTCTTTTCCCTTGATAAAATAGAAATCTGTATTATTAATAAACTAGTTGAAAATCGTTCAGTATGATTTGTTTAACAAAGAAAAGTTGCACTAATAGCAGAAAAATACAAGAAAGAAAGCTAGACTACCGAAGGTTTCTAGATTTATTTGGGTGGAATCAGCAATTGATGGAGTACATGTTAGGTTCATAAGATGATGCTGTAGCACAAAATACCTTTCGTCCAATGTGCCCAACAAGATTGAACATGTGGAGCAACCCAAGCCCCAATCCTAACTCCTTTATTGATTCAGCTCCATGGACCCAACCAGCACTCATACCACAAATGCCACACTTTGATAATTGCTTTTTGACAGAATCTAAAAACGTGCTGATCAATCATTGCAGTATATCCTTTCCGTTCCCAAAAGAGAATAGGAATTTGTCCATGGTTATCTATCCCGTGTCCAAAGCCCAAACTCCAAATGTTTATCCTCAGAATATTCACCATAAACCCTTTTTTTTTTTTTTTCTCTCCTTTTCTATCACTATCTTCATCAGTCAAAATATTCCATAAAGAACATCTATCAGTAAATTCTGCAACAATAGATTTCCCAATTTACCGTCTCTTGTAGATCATCAAATCTGAAAAAACAAAAATTTGGAGGCCCAAAACTAAAACAAAAGCCCAAATTAGTAACCCAAAACCATGGTTATGGTGCAGTAACAGCCCAAACTTGTAATGACACAACCCATCCTCAATGAACATCTGGTACGCCCTCCAACACCTTATCATTTCCCTGCTAGGGCTTTTAAGATCCGACTTCATCCTCAGCTCCCTCAAAATACTCTGCCGCTTCGGCTAGGGTTTTCTAAAGCCCCTCTTCACTCGCTCGCTCGCTCGCTCTCTTCTTTTCACTCACTACACACACTCTTTGCTTTCTGCATATCAGATCTAAATGTCCATGGATTCTTATAACAACTAGAATTCATTTTCGAAATAAATAAATCTAAGGCTCAAAGCTTTAGCCTTGTTTGATATACATAGACCACTGAGAGTATCGAAAATGGCGACAATGAACCCATTTGATCTTTTGGGCGATGATGATAATGATGACCCAAGTCAGCTTCTTGCTGCTCAGCAGCAGAAAGCTCCGGTGGCTTCTGCAGCTCCGGCTACCAAGAAGGGTCCAGCACAAGCTCAGTCGAATCAGCCGGCTAAGGCTCAGGCTCAGGCTCAGGGTCAAGCCAAGCTTCCTTCCAAGCCCCTTCCCCCAGCTCAGGCTGGTAAGACTCAGTTCATCTCCTTGTCCCTGATTTGATTTTGGTGATATTATTGCAAAAGAACGAAATGAAGAGAAATAAGGAATTTCTATGGAGGTTTTTAATGTGTTTTTGATGAAAGGATTTTGCTGAAATGAAAGAGAGGAGAAACTGTGATGAGGGTTTTACCGTGTCATTTCTCTGTATTTATCAGTTTTTCCGTGCTTAATGATTGAGAAAGGATGAAATGAAAGGACACGAAGACATTTTTGTGGAAGTTTCTCTGGATTGTAATGTTGTTATAGTGAAAAGAAGGGCTTGAAATGAAGATGCATGTTCTAAAAGGATGTGTGATTATGTTGTACCTTTTTTTCCCTTGTTGCATGCGCGTTTTTTATTGTCATTTTGGTGTTTCCTTTATGGCTGAGGAAGAAATGCAAAAAAGCATTTGCTAACTTTGGGTCCTTTTAGAATTTTGATTATAAATGGGAACTAGGGAGTAGAAAGATCATGTCTTATGCAGGTTTTCCAGGAAATAGGAAAGAAATGAAGTATGATTGAGGTTGATGGTGCGTTGATGGAAGCTATCATTCCTTTCATTTATGTATTTTGTGAAGCATGATTAATAGTGATGACAAATTTCTTTATGTAGTTTGGTTTAGAGATCTGGCTTTATTATGTGTTTCTAGGTTGCAAGTTGTTTGTCAGTGGCAACCTTTCTTTTGTGCTTTAGGCCGTCTTGTGAATGGAGTTCATTCTCATTCAAGTCAATCATGCTCATTACAGAGGCCTAATGCTACTAGGTTCTAATCACAATAATCTTTTGGTTTTTAGTTTATCATTCAGTGTTACATATCTCATATTGTTCTTTAGCTTGTAATTCATGTAGTCAGAGATGAGATTCAGTTACTTGCTGAATTAGTAGTAGACGGGAATTTCTCTATCAACAAAAATTGGTAACTTGGTTTGCATGTTTCCTTGGGGCTTTTTTCAGTTATACTCTAATTTAGGAGACTGGAGTTTTTTCCAGTTATATTGTTTGTTATTTGCCCTTGTATTTCTGTTGTTTTGACAATCTTGTGTTGACCTTTTATTAACCTTCTTGGACATTTTTGCTTGACCCTTGGATGAAATAGTAATTTGAGATGATTTTCTTGGATTGTTCTGATGCAGTGTGCGCTAAATCTTATCGCTTCATAACAATCAAATAGGGTTTACTTCTTCAGTTAAATTTTCTGTAGAAATATTTTGAATGTGCAATTTTAACAATTTTGATGTCTTGAATTGCTTGGAACAGTAAGGGAGCAAAGAATGAAATTCAACGTGGTGGCGGGCGTGGTGGTGGACGTGGTGATGGTCGTGGTCGTGGGCGTGGGCGTGGCGGTCGAGGATTTGACCGAGATTCTGCTGATAATGAAAATACAGCTGCCGGCAACAATGGGTACTCTGGAGGGTATAGAACTTCAGAAGATGTGGAGGCTGGGAAGACTGGTGAAAGGCGTGGATATGGTGGTCCTCGTGGAGGTTTTCGTGGGGGTCGCCGTGGTGGTTTTAGTAATGGGGAAGCTGCAGATGGTGAGAGTGGAGAACGCCCTCCTAGGAGGATATTTGATCGCCGTAGTGGTACTGGTCGTGGGTGAGTGACCTATCTGAGTAGTGTTGCTCAGCTTTGTATTAATTTTGCTGAATCTTAGTTATCAATTTTTTTTTGTTATGATATGTAGAAATGAGATAAAACGTGAGGGTGCTGGTCGTGGAAATTGGGGGACCCCAACTGATGAGATTGCTCCGTGAGTATTTCTCTTTTATATTCTGGACTCTTGAATGTATTTCAGATATATGAAGAAAGAGTTAGAAGTCGTTAATTGTATTAAGATGTGGTTTTCTTGACAAATTTAGTGAAACTGAAGAACCGGTCAATGAGGGTGAGAAGAATGCTGATACTGAGAAACAATCAGGACAGGAAACAGTTGGGGATGCCAACAAAGATTCTCATGTGGACGAGCCAGAAGAGAAAGAGAAGGAACCTGAGGAAAAGGTGTCTTTACCCTCTAATTGTCTTATTCTTGTGGTCGGAGACTTAGGAAAACATACTTGTTAACTGCTTAATAATGCTTCAGTTTTTTTACGAGTTCATCTACTTTTCTTAATAGGAGATGACACTGGAGGAGTATCAGAAGCTACTTGAAGAGAAGAGGAAAAGCTTGCTGGCATCAAAACCAGAGGAGAGGAAGGTTAACTTGGATAAAGAATTTGAATCCATGCAATTGCTGTCTAACAAAAAGAATGATGATGATGTCTTCATAAAATTGGTAAATTTCTTGCTCTTGATAGTGCCATGCAGATTGCACTAACGAGTCTTAGAGCTATTACAATAATTGTATTTGTTATTTGAATTTGCAGGGGTCTGACAAAGATAAGCGCAGGGATGCTGGTGAAAAAGCAAAGAAGGTTTAGTTTCTTGTGCATTTTTTAACTTGATGAATATTTGCTGCTGTGGCTGTCACCTTGTATGTGTGAATGTTGAATTTGTTGTCTATGCCTTTGCTTCTTTATTGGAATTCTGTGTGTATGGCCAAACCTGGCCCATTTCATAAACTCTGCATTTTTACTTCATGATAACATGTTGCATCTTAATATATTTTAATTATCCACTGGTCATTCATGGCAGCACTACAATTTGCTATTTGGCATTCATTGCAGTTTTGCTATTTTGAACATTGATTTTACCTTGCTGAATTAATAATCTCGTTTGGATCTGCCCCTCAAATCTGAAGTAGGTGATATGTAGTCACTGGGGAGAGCAAACTGCTGCTCATGTAAATTTAATTTTGAAAAGAAATGGTAAGTAGTGTTGGTGCTTCAAGGAACATGATATGTGAAACACAAGCTGGGAACATCATCAATGGAAATTTAGGAATTGTAAGACTGTTCTTGTGAATAGCATATATAAGATGTTTAGATTCTTGGAAGTTAAAAGAAGTAAATGTGTAAAATTTACATGTACATGTTTCTTTGTTAAAGCTTTTAGCAAAATGCAGCTAATTAATAATATACTGCTAAAGCTACAAAGAATTGGAGTATGAGAACCAAGATGTACATACAATTGTTTGGTTGTAAACTGCCTTGAGTATTTCAATAGACAATGTGTTAAGAGTTTTCATGATGTGGAGCTTATCTACTATTCTTATGTCACGCAACTGCCTCGAATCATCTGGGACTGACTATTTGTTTATTGTGCCTTGTCATTTTGTCAAACATATCCACCGCCCATGCTTTTGAAATTTACTGTGCACCTGCTTTTTTTGGTCAAAACTTGTAAGATGTGAGGAGCCACTCTCTTTTCATGTTCCACATCTGAAAGGGCTTGATGACTTGATTGGATTAGCAAGTAAATAACTATTGATTTCACATATTTTAATTCTTTCTCGAGGTTCAATATGATTGTTTTGCAGCTTGTTATTTGTTTCTTACATCTTATCCTCTTTTCTTGCATAATTTGCAGGCTGTAAGCATAAATGAATTCCTGAAGCCTGCTGAGGGTGAAAATTATTATCGTCCTGGTGGCCGTGGAAGGGGACGTGGCCGTGGTAGGGGAGGATATGGAAACAACTCATACAACGTTGAAGCTCCTTCCATTGCAGATGTCGGGCAGTTTCCTTCTTTGGGCGGAAACTAAGGGAGCAGGGCCTGCCTGAGCTTTTATTCTTCCTATTCTCATGATTTTGGGTGGCTCGCTTTTGGCGGGATATTTTCACAAATGACGTGCTCCTGTACTAAAATTGTTGAAGAATTTTACAACCTTTTAAAGAGTGTAAATTTAGATGTCTTCCCGGGGTTTATTCCCTTGGGTCTAGTCCTTTGACCAGCATGGTTACACTTTTTTTTTTTTGGCATATTTAGGGCACTAGGGTCCAAATTTTATATTTTGATGATGGATCAGTTTTGATTTGGAGTTATGGAAACAGTTTTGCTTTTTCCTAGTTGAAGCCTTTAGCTGATTATCAGTTTCTGTTCTGTTGGTCCCTATTTTAGAATTTGTTTGTTTCCGGTTATCTTGGTAGAAATTAACCCTAGTACATATTTCTTCTCCTGGACTTAGACCGGTCTGTGTTTGCTTCTTGCTCGATCAATTGCTCCTGTGGTGTATTGGCTTCTATGTAGACATGCTTTTGCATCTTGCTTGATCAATTGCTTCTATTGAGTATTGGCTTCCATGTAGAGATGCTTCTGCTTGAACTTCATTTTGATCTGAAATATGGCCTGTCTTGCAAGTGTTGACAATGTTTTAGATCTTTCAATTTAGGTTATTTGATCAGAATTTATGGTTTGTTACTCGCAATTGAATGTTGGCTGAATGGATCAATTTCGTCTAATATACATTAACAGAATGAGCAAATTATTTCGGGTCATTCAGCTTCGAAATAATTTTTCCTGACAAAAATTTATTATGCAGATTGAGAAAATTTTGCAGAAATAAAAGGCAAATAAAAGTTCACTTCTAGTTGGAATTTATCCTTCTGGACAAGATATTTGACATTGGTGGTAGACTCCAGAAAATTGCCAGTAAAGGAAATTGAAAGCACGTATGGGCATGCTCTTTTTAGACTTTTGACAAGATTTTCATCCCACTCTCTACTTCTCTGTAACTTGAAAAAAAAAAAACTCAATAGTGGTCAGACAACAGGATTTTTATATCTTTTTAAGCAACAGCATAAAACTTTGGGGAAGTGTATAATTAAGGAGGTGGATAGTAACATTGAGTCCTTGAAATGAATGAATTTTCAACAGCCATTCACTAAAACACTTGTTAGTACACCTAAGGTTTAGCTTGGGAGTTTTTGAAGAGAAAAGAAAGGAAAAGGAAGTTTTAAATGACGAGAGAAAAAGACAGAAAGAGATTTTTAAATTGTTTGGGAATGTAAGAAAGAAATAGAATGAACTCAAACACGTTGGGTATTATTTATTCATTACCAGATTATGGACATATTTGGCATTTAGAAAGAAAAAAAATGGGTTGAAGGTTTGTTCACTTTCCTTCCATTTCTGTCCATATTTGGAGAGAGTTTGCTTGACAATTTATCCCTCCAAAAAAAAGTCGTTCTTCGCCCCTTACTTTTTAACAGAATGTAATATGGCCCTCGAAAGATTTCCTCTGCCTGTTAAGAAAGTTTCTTCAGGAGCTGTAGAAGTGCGGTTCCGTAAACACCAACCATGACAAATGCGGTCTCCTCATCTTAGAATCAGAAATGAACCATTTTCCTTTCCCTTCTTCAGAACTTTCCCCGCGTTCATCTTCTTCAGGTACTTCTCTTCTTCCTACTCGCCAGCAGTCGAAAACTCAGATGCTTTCCCAAAACCCAAACGTTGCAGTCCACTCCTTCACCAGCCCACGTCACAAGTACCACTTGGTTCCCCCCAGTAACTTAGCAACACGTGATCAGCGTCAAATGAATTACGCCGTCTCAATGAACAAGAAAATTACCAGTTTTGTACGATGCGGGGATTTGGATTCAGCCCTTAAATTATTTTATAAGATGGCTTTTAGGACTACCATCACATGGAACTCAATCTTGGCTGGATTTTCAAGAAAACCCGGAAAATTGATGGAAGCCCAGCAATTGTTTGAAAAAATTCCTGAACCAGATACTGTCTCGTATAATATAATGTTGGCTTGTTATTTACAAAATGGTGAATTGGAGGCAGCTAGGAATTTGTTTTCTCATATTCCTTGTAAAGATGTTGCAACTTGGAATACGATGATAGCAGGCTTTTCGCGAAATGGGATGATGAGTGAAGCTAAGAATTTGTTTTTGGCCATGCCTCGGAAGAATAATGTGACTTGGAACGCTATGATTGCGGGATATGTTGAGTCAGGGAATGTTGAATTAGCTTTGGAGATGTTCCAGGCTAACCCTGCGAAAGATGTGATTGCATACACAGCGATTGTAACAGGGTTCATGAGGTCTGGGAAGGTTGCTTTTGCAGAGAAGATGTTTCTAGAGATGCCAGTGAAGAATTTAGTGACTTGGAATGCTATGATTTCTGGATATGTTGAAAATGGTAGAGGGGAAGACGGATTGAAGTTGTTTAGGACAATGCTGGAATTGGGAATTAGGTTAACGAATCAACCTTGAGTAGTATTTTGTTGGGATGTAGTAACTTGTCCTTTTTGAAGTTGGGGAAGCAAGTTCATCAGCGTGTTTTTAAGTCTCCTTTGTATTTGGATATTACAGTGGGAACTTCACTGATTAGCATGTATTGCAAGTGTGGTGATTTAGAGGATGCATGGAAGTTGTTTCTTGAGATGCCACGGAAAGATGTTGTGACTTGGAATGCAATGATTTCAGGCTATGCTCAACATGGGGCGGGAGAAAAGGCTCTTAGTTTGTTTTCAAGGATGAGAAATAAAGGAGGAATGAGACCAGATTGGATAACCTTTGTTGGAGTTCTAACAGCTTGTAATCATGCAGGTTTAGTTGATCTTGGGATTCAGTATTTTGAGTTGATGCAGAAGGATTATGGAGTTAAACCTCAACCAGATCACTACACTTGTATGGTTGACCTCCTTAGTCGAGCTGGAAAGCTTGCTGAAGCCATGGATTTAATAAAGAGAATGTCTTGTAGACCTCATATGGCTGTATTTGGAACCCTTTTAGGTGCTTGTAGGATCTACAAGAACTTGGAGGTGGCTGAGTTTGCTGGGAAAAACTTGCTTAGTCTTGATCCTACTAATGCAGCTGCTTATGTTCAACTTGCAAACCTATATGCTGCTAATAATAGATGGGAGAATGTTTCTATAGTTAGAAGACTGATGAAGGAAAATAAAGTAAGTAATAAAAACGCCAGGATATAGTTGGATGGAAATAAAAAATGTGGTTCATGAGTTTAGATCTGGAGATAGGCTTCACCCAGAATTGGATAGCATACATGAGAAACTGAATGAGCTAGAGAAGAAAATGAAGTTGGCAGGTTATGTTCCTAATCTCGAGTCTGATTTGCATGATGTGGAAAAGCAGCAGAAAGAGCAGATACTTTTGTTGCACAGTGAAAAACTGGCTATCGCATATGGGCTAATAAGTTTGCCACCCGGTGAACCAATCCGGATATTCAAGAACCTGAGAGTATGCGATGATTGCCACCAAGCAACTAAATTCATATCTGCAATAGAACCAAGGGAGATCATTGTGAGAGATACTACAAGGTTTCACCATTTTAAAGATGGAATGTGCTCTTGTCGTGATTACTGGTAGAATCTTCTACGGAAGCTACAAAAGGAGACCCTAATCCCGAAGCGAATCATTGGCAAGTCGAACTTCTTGAAAGAATGAACCATGTAGAACATTCCTATTCAGTAATGGGCCCAGCAGGTAGAAAGATTTGGCAGCAACATGCACGAGATGACTTGGTGAGGAATTTGTAAGAACCATTTCTTTGGAAAGCACGACCTGATCAATGGCTGCACTGCGTTCAAGTGATCGTGAGGCCGCTGGGTGCTCTCGCTAGAAACGATGCACGGGTTTCAAGTGGCCTTTATTTCGGAATCTTCCATGTTGTGTGGATGGAGGATCTGCTGTTGTCATTGGATTGTAATGCATTTACAAGCCCATCCTTGCATCAACATTAAGATGTCTTCCTTTCACATTTCAGTATTGACCCGATAACTAACTCCTTGTGGCTCGATGTATCCATGTCAGTTGCACTAAGATCTTTGACCTAAGCTCATCAGCATGAACATATTTTTTTAACGATTGAAATGACTCATTTCCTCGAATCAATTTGGTAAAATGGGAAAAATTTAAAACGAAAGAGGACGATATGATGACTAGACATCAAAATAGCGGAGGCAAGAAACGGTGTCTGCATGAACAAGCTGGTTTAAGGGGCATTTACTGTCGATGCAAGTAAAAAGAGGATGATTATGCAGTAATGTAACAACTTCAATTACGAGATTTGCAAAGGAGGCCAAGGTAATGAAAGTAAATATTGCTATTAACCAATATTTTCCTAATTTGTACAAATGTTTACTTTAACATCAAATACAGTAAAAAGAATGAATGTTTTAGCATAGTTCTGAAACAACAATATCAAATAAGCAATCCTGCGAACGGCGAGTAATTTTACACCCCATGGAGAACACAAGCATAGGCTTCATCATCATCAGTTAATCCAACTATTTTCTTCAGGTGGAGCAGCAACCAGACTTTTGGTTTACAGGCTGTCCTCGAATTTGTAGGTAGGTGGTCGGGCATTGTTCATTGCGGGTTGGCTTGCCATCCTAAAAAACCATTAAGAGAGCCACAAGGAATTACATATGCGATTAAGATTTACTGATCAATGAAACCGAAAACTATTGATTTTTCTAACGCACAACAACATTCAGTACCTATTCTTGATCTCGGCAGCCATTGCCATAAAAGCCTGTTCAACATTGGTGGAACTTTTTGCACTTGTTTCCATGAAAGGAATCCCAATTTCGTCTGCAAAAGCCTGAAAAACGAGAGGAGAGTATATGCAACATTAGCACAACTGATCCAAAAGAAACCTGAGAGTTAGATTATTTGGTACCACAGTATTAAGCAAAAACACGTCCAGAACTTTCCACCATATAAGAAACTATCCTATCAAAAGTATCAAAAGTTCTACATTACAGGGTTCAGTATGATGTACCTTGGCTGTATCATATGCCACTACCCTTTGAGATTCAAGATCACACTTGTTCCCAACCAAAAGCTTGTTTACATTCTCACTTGCATATCGGTCAATTTCATTCAGCCATTGCTTTACGTTATTAAAGCTTTCTTGATCGGTGACATCATAAACCACCTGCATAAGTGCAAACAGGAACTTGTAAATCACTGCAAGGACACGGTAAAAAAAGAGCAACACATATTGCAACTTCTCAGAAATAAGTTACTCACAATGATACCATGAGCGCCACGATAATAGCTGCTTGTAATTGTCCTAAAACGTTCTTGCCCAGCAGTGTCCCACTGAACCACAGAGGGGGTAAAAGGCATCAGATGAGAAAGGAAGCTAAAACCAAAGGGGGAAGAAAGTTCTACGGAAGTAAAAAGCCACACATTTGGAGTCTAATACCAAAAGATAACCAGATAACCAAAAAGGCATCAGATGAGAAAGGAAGCTAAAACCAAAGGGGAAGAAAGTTCTACGGAAGTAAAAAGCCAGACATTTGGAGTCTAATACCAAAAAGATAACCGGATAAATTCTTCATCAACTGTAATCAAGTTATTTTCCTCATTTCGCATCGTCTTCTTTACCATCATACTAATATAATCATTAAATATCTAGATGTGATAAGAACAACAATATCTTTCAAACATAAGAAACAGTTGTTTAGATACTCACAATTTGGAGTTTAATGGTTTTCCCATCCTGCTCTACTGTGCGGATTTTCTACAAGGTGAAGGAAAAGGAACTATAAACCACACTGACATCTGACAAGAAAGCCAAGCAAAACAATAAGGCAGGCCGACTACTTACAAAATCCACCCCGATGGTACTAATATAACTCTCCAGATATGAATCATCCTGAAAACAAAGACAACTTGTGTTAGCAGCAACATAGAGAAACATTTCTCTTGTTTGAGTGGCAAAATTATGACAGACAACCTAATGTTTTTGAAATATCAAAAATGCTGTGCAAAAACGGCAGTTATTTTTTCCATCACAAAAAGAATTTAACTGTCTTTATCTATTTCATAACTCTTGTTTCATATTTAGCTCCGGATTTTTTGGTATGAAAACTTATAGGCTATACAATCTATAAAGTCGGCTCACAGAAAATGACATTTTTTATACGCAGTCAGCACTAATCAGTAGCCCATGGATTTCCAGAGTTAGCCAACAGCACATAACCAAGCAAGCACCCATTCCCCGACTGAAATGGTGAAAACCAAAAAGGAGGATGCTATCCACCTAGCTATTATGAACAATTTGTCTCTCTTAACTGTTTCATGTGCCAACAAAGCAACAGAAAATTGGACAAAAAACTAGATTTAAGGAGGAAGAAAGAAGCAACAGATTCAAAAATCTGACACAGAGAAAGCATTTGAACCACATGAAAAATGAAGAACTTACAGCAAACCTCAAGAGCAGACATGATTTGCCAACGCCAGAGTCTCCAATGAGCAAAAGCTTAAAAAGATAGTCGCTGAAACATGAAAGTTATGGTAAGTAGTCAACTTAAGGTTCTAGAAAGAAAAAAAATCCAACTTTTGAAAAAAACATTTCCACCTCATATGAAAAGTACAAGAAAATATTAGCCAATAATTTCACATATTATTAAATATGCCATCCAGAAATCTCATATACTAGATAGTATCAAGCGAGAAAGCTCATCAACTACAGAAATTTTCAATGTCTTTCAGTATCACGTGAGTGGCACAAGCAACATGATGATTACTACTGGTTTAAGTGCATCAAATTGCATATAGTTCTGAGGTCTAGGCCTATGCAGCAATACGATTTTCTTCTCCCTGAACAGAAATGATCCTTACACTACCATCACTTATATCATCATGAATAACCAAGTTGAAATGGCAAGAAACATGTTACATGAAATTAGAAGGCCAATCTGATATGTGATCAACATCTTCACCACCAGTGAAGCTTGCAGCATGATTAATGACAACTGACAAAGAAAAAGTCTCATAACAGCACACAGTTTCATTGGTAAACAAATCAACCTTAAGTTATAATTCCAACTGCTACAGCCTAGACCAACTAGTTACCAAAAGGACAAGATCGACATCCACCTCTCAACCAGGCAGAGATTATATTCTAGTTGTCGTTTCAGCCACAATCACAAAGTTCCAAATGCTTGAAATTTGCTGTTTCTCCTAACACAACTAACAACGATAAGGAAAGGCATCGATACCAAAGCTGAATAAATTAACGGAAACTATTTCATCCATAATCCGGTTAGATTAACACGGTTAGATTCAAACAATATCTCAACATATTTGAAAATAGAACCTATGTGATCATACATATCAATCAATTATTCAGCTCAATATTTTAGTACTCTCTTTGTCCAATCAGGAATTTAATTACAGTTATTGCAACAATTTTCTAGGTTCAGATTCTAAGAACTATAAAAAAGATCCTCATCCTTGTCAAAACGATCTAGTTCTCGGATCAACCAACATCAGCAGAAAAAAATAGATCCCCAATCCCTTATCTGAAAGCATGTATCATCAACCAACCAAGGAATACTCGTTCAAGAGGTTATAGAGAAAAATCACAACGGATCTAAATGAACTATTAAATCTATCACCAAAATCTAAAAGGGTTCCGAGAATGAACGTCAAAATTCAATCTTGAATTCAGAATTCAAAAGGGTCTAAAATTTTGACCCAACAAAAGAATATCAGAAAAAACTTACTATTCTGGATTCATTATGACGCTATATGGACAAAAAGAATTCGGGATCGATACTTTCACGAAGAGATAAGAGAGGAGCCAAAAGGGTAGATGGGTTTTTTGCGTTTCCGGCGAGAATTTAACGGGAGCTTCGTACACGTCGTCTCAGAGAAGGATTGGAAGAGAGAGTTGTGAAAGGAAGAGAACGGGGAAATGAGAGAGAGGAGGATTTGTCTTAGTATTAAAAGGAGGCTAAATTGCACGTACTGTGGAGATGGGGAAATGACGTGGCAAATTCATGGGGTGCTCTAAACGTGTCAAGCACTTGTCAGCCAATTACGATTTTGGGATTTGGGTTTTATAATTTTTGTCTTTTAAATTTTTTTTGGTAAGAAGATTTTCATTTAAGTTTGATCAAATTGTATTAGTACAGTACAATGATTAATTAAGGTGATGGTTTATGTGGAAGAACACAATGAGAAGTTTCATGTTTGGTCGTGCACCGTACTTCTCTTACATTTTTCGATAAATTATGATAGAGAGTCAGTTAGACACTTTATTTTTTTAGTAAAGAAAAAAAAGATTTGAGTGGATTCGACTTTGATTAACACTATAGTTCAGAATATATTCTCGAAATCATATCAATAAATATACGACATTTTTTGTAAAAAAAATGATCTGTTCTTATCAATTGACTAAACTTATCAATTGAGTAAACTTGTGTTGGTCTAATCAAACACTTGTACGTTAATTTTTTTTTTTTCTTTGGATATTGCTTTAGTATCACAGCTGCCTACATCACAATTCACATACATGCCATACTTTATGGATCTTCCCATCAAAAGTTATATACTGATACTTTGTTGTGTTAATATTTATACTTATTATTAGTATCTCTATTTGTGGCGTTAGAGCACACGTTTTTATAATGCAATTACTAATGAGAATTGAAAATTGCAATTGTGGAGGCCCTAAATCCGCGATAGTCCAGTTTCTAGTTTGTAGAATATGTGCTTGCAGTCTGGAATTGTGTTGCAGCAGAAAAGTGCCACAAAGCATTTGCAATTCAATTAACTACTACTAGTTTAGCCTGTTAAGAGCTGAAACAAGAAAAATTCGCAGACATTTCTTTTCTAATTCGCAGAAGCAATTGAGCACCAAGTAAAAATAAACTTCTCCTGACCACTTTATTAGAAACCAATATCTAAAATTCCGTAGTTTGAATTGAAGAGAGCAGTGTGACCAATTGAAAGTTGTATCGGTTCTGATAGACATTCTGCTTTGTGGGTTTTATATACTTTGTAAGTCTAATTGCAAACTC